TTGCCGGCCAAAATGATGCAAAAACGACTGGCAAGAGCGCTAGGAAGACCTTAGCCGTTTCCTTCTTGCAGGTAATTAGGAAAGAAAAGATGGTAGCAAAGGCAGTGCTTTCATTAAAATCCGAATTGGGTCTCTGTTTTTCATTGAAATAAATGGTTGCCTTTATACTGGAGAAGCTCCAGACCATGATAGCTCTTCTATGACTCGATTAAGTTGCAGCTCTGGTGAAATTCCAATATGGGTTTCTGGCTTTACTTGAAAATATAGTTTCATTTTAATGGAGATGTCTCAGAAGGTTAAAGCTCAGAGAAAGTACGACGAAGTATGCATCTCTAAAGAAAACCCAAATTGTAAGAAATTGGCTTCCTTTCTTAGCTATTAAAGTACCACATGTGATTTCTCTTATCTAATTTCTTTAAAAAAAAGTAAAAGCTAGATTTTTTTCTTTTCTTTTCCTTTTTCTTGTTCTTGCATTTTCTAAACTCTCCTTTCAGCTCAACAAAGTGGGCACCCATAACCGAAACCAGAATAGCTTTCAGTTTTTCTTTTTTATAATTTCTAGCTTCTTTTTTCCTGAGTGATCCTTTTTTCTAGATTTCTAGATTTAATGGATTAACTCGACACCACTCAAGCAGAGAAAGAAAAATGGCGTTACTACAAGATGTATTGAAACCAATACTATTTAGATTTCACTTCATCCTTTATTCCTTTTTCTTCCATTGCTTTTCTTATCACAATTTTAATTTAAAATTTACAGGTCGATAAGCTAAAAAAGAAGCTCAAACATGAAGAGAATGTTCAAAGAGCCTTGGAGAGGGCTTTCACAAGACCGTTAGGGGCTTTCCTTGTCACTTTGTCTCCCTCCTTCCTCCATTAGGAGCTCTACTTCTTTCTCCACGTCGTCCCCGACTGCCCCGAGAGCCATTGCTATTTGAGACAGAAAGCTAGAATCCCATGTTTCCATCTTCTTCATCAATATGTTAGTACTCACAGGCTAATGCCAATTTGACGACATCCACCGCAAGGATTCTACCTTCTATTCCTAGCAATTCTTCGACTTCTATTCTTGGAAATTCTGTGGATCACATGCTCGGCCTCTAGTCTTGCCGCAAGGATTCTATGTTTGGGGAATTTTCTGCTATGTCCGTTTTATTAGATCTTCAGAAACCCGCTGCTGTTCTTGTTGCAAGCATAGGAGGTGGAGATAAAGATGGAAAACGGAGACCGAGATGGAGAAACATTTTCATTAGTTGGGTTTTATTTTGAAAATTTGACATTTTGTTCATTTCCGTTATTACTTAACAACGATGTCAATTGTCAGAAACAATAGGGGTACTTTAAGGCAAAATGTAAATAGTAAGGGTAGACTTAATCATTAGCAAAACCATAAGGGTAGTTCAAAAAATTTTCCTTTTTTTTTAATTTATTTAATAAAAATATCATAAACATGTGTAATTTTCTTTACATTTTTGTAAATTTTTATTTAAAAAATTTTATTATCTAACTATGACTTCATAAATTAATCAAATACAAATTCAACTATGATATGAATTCACATGGTCTAAGTGGTGTTTAACTTGGATTGAATTATAGAGTTTAGCCATTCATGTATACATCAAGTCAAGATATGCAACAATTCAATCAACTGAATAAAAGGCTAATTCAAGTGTCGTATGAATTCACATGGTCTAGGTGTTGTTTAAGTTGGAATAAGTGAAAGAGACTAGACATGCCATAAACATCATCAAAAGGAAATAACCGAAGGAATAACTAAAGATATCACTTGGCTATCATATATGGCCAATTAGATATGTCATGGTTCCCTTTACCACCCATCTAACCTATATAAGATTAGTAGCTAAACTTTATAAGATTTGCTGAATATGGAGGGAAACAACACCATAGTTGATAGAAATTAAATGCATCATCTTAATATGTGCATCAGTAGTTAAACTATATAAGATTTGTTGAATATTTGTTTTCCTTTTATGTGATATAGCTAAACTGTATCAACATTGTTATTAACTTCAGGGAATCAACATTGTTATTCACTTTAGGGAGTACAGTGGCAAGTAGCACCCACCATACTATTTAGGCATTAATTCGAACACCTAGTGCTATGTAAACCAATAAGAGACCAAGCTAACAATATCGGCCATGCCCTAGTATAGTAACCTCATGTGTGGAATCTGTTGGAAGGATTGAAAACCTGATTAAACATGGATGGACCTATTATAATTGATGGATAGCCGAATTAAAAAAAAAATCAGCCCAACTTAAGAATTGATTTCTCATTATTTTGAAATATGAATTTTTGAATTGATCTTGTACTAAATTGGACCAGACTTAAAACCAATTTTTCGAATAGAACATACCTGATATAGATTCCATAGTACACAACTCTCAAAGTAGTTATTCATGCCCAATTGTAGATCCAAATCAGCCTCCAATTGAAGATGGAACAACTATATGTGTGAAGTTGATTCAACAATTTTATTTTTGCAAAACTGAGCTACAACCTCTCTAGAATCAATGCAGCTATGTGGACTCGAAACTTTCTGATGTTTTTCTCCAAAAATACAATTGAGAGTTGATGATGGTTGTTTCGAACTAGGGTTTTCGGGTGCAAAGGGAGAAAAGAAAGAATTCAAGAAAGTGGAGAGAATGGGATGGTTTCACCCCTTCCTTTTAACCCCCTTATTAGAACACTCTCCTAATTCTATTAGGAGTTAATCCAAACCAAATTTGGATAAACTTGATTAAAATTAGATTTGGATTAGCACATTATCTTCTTAAGAGAATGGGTTTTCTATACCTATTTCCAAATCCAAATCTTAAACTAACCTTACTTCTAATGAGCCTAAGGCCCATTTTCTTTAATTGTTCACATACATAGGCATTGCATGGCCACTTAGGCCTAAATATTGTATGGTGTGTGGGTCCTACACAAGTCCACATGGGTTCAAACCATCATTGGAAGGGGACAGGCTGAATTCACTACTTAAGGACAATGAACCCCTGAGCCAATCAAGTTAGGCTCAATTTGGGCCCAATTGAACGTAAGTGATCCTTGAACTCAACCACCCTATAGAAACCCAATGACAATTGACTTATGTAAGATACCCTTTAGGTTATTAGCCCTCTAATGGTCTTTTGCCCTTAACCTCTCAACCCTTAAGAATCAAAACACTACTTACAGAGAATGACATCTTCCCTAACTACAAAATGCAATATCACACTCTCTGTTCAGATGGATCATGGAATTGAAATCTTTTATAAATCCAATTTCAAATATTGTTGAAATTTACTACTGATAGTTTTAGTTTTCCATTAGAGAGAGTGTAAAACCTTGATATTCACTTTGTTTGACAAATGGGTCAATCCTATCACTATGATCACCCACTCAGGTAATTTCCTTAATTATTCTAACATGCCCTGATATTTGACCCTTGATGGATCCCACTAGTTGGCGTATGAAAAGTAACCCAGTCCAAGACCTAGTATAGTATCATAATCAAGTGCAGGGTTAAGTGTAACTTTCTAGTTTTGCCAATCTGTCTCTAAAGCCCAAGGCATAATTAGAAATTGGTCCAAGTTCAGTGCTTCTTCTGAACACCCACTGGTTGTGCTTGGGGTATAACCCCAATATCTAAGACAAGCTGCTCCACCAATTTGTCAACACATCAGTGTCAACTTTGTTGCAATAAACTCCCCAAGTTTATCAATGGCTAAGAACATTTTAAATTAACACAAGTCATATAAGTGTCTAGTTTAAGGAATAATTCGCATAAACACAACAATCTAAACATAAAACAATAATGCACTTATATTATTCACATATAAAAGTTTATGTACATCAATTTGATTGGAATTAAAGGCATACACCGTCTAATTTCATGATTTGATGAAGTATTGTATATGTTTGGTTCCACTGGAATTTCTTAGGGGTGTTTACCATTGGAGTTTCTTAGGGGCGTTTATCAGATAAACATTTATCCAATAAACGCCACTTTTAACGTTTTCTATTTTTGTTTTTTGATTAGGCTTAAAATGGGCATTTCAATTAGAGGTTGTCCATAAGACCAACCTCTAAGTGCTTTGGTTGAGCACCCATGTTCAATATAAGCTATTTGGAATTTATAAGTTCATGTTATAGTCACGATTTTGGCGTTTAGAATGTCCATGATAACATTTTGAAATTTTACTTTGGAGAAGCTACCAAAACTAAGTTCACCGGAAAGTTGATCTCATAGTAGGGTGAGCATGGGTTGGTTAGGTTTAGTTCTAAGGTAGAACCTGAAACCTAAGGGTTGATTTTAGGTTTTGGCCTTAGTAGTTCAGGGTCTACCATAAAACTTGTTCTTTCTTTACTAAAAAATATTATCTTTGAGAATCTATAAATTATAATAATATATTAAATATAATTCAAAATCTATAATTATAATTTAAATTTTGTAAATATTCCCTTTTGCATTATTTATTTTAAATTGAATGTTATGATCAAACCCAATGGCCAATGGTGAAGTGAGTGCTTGATAAAAAATATTTTGGAAATTACTTTAAGATCCGGATTGGTTTAGGTAAGATAAAGCCCCTCGCCCGAGAACTAGCCCAGGTTGAACCGACCATATACAATAACACAAAACCATCCAGAATCAATATTTGGACCGTGGGATTATAAGCAATGGAACAATGGTAGTTAGATTCTAATCTAACAGTACAAAAGGGTTGTCTTTTCTGAATATGCGATGTGTCCACTTGAGAGCAAATCTGCCCCTACAAGATTGCCCCACAACGTCCCACAGCACATTTAAAATATATCCTGATGATGATATCATATCGAGAGATGTTCACAATACACGGCAGCAGGGATGTATTGTGAGACGTTGTGGGGACAGATTTGAACTCTATCCACTTAAAGCGAAATCCGTACAATCTCCTGCGAAATCCGTACAATCTCCTGCGAAATCCACTACCTTTATAAATAGATAACTCGTCTCTATTTTTGTGTCTGATTTTCTCTCTGAGGATTTCGTTGTTCACTATTTTCATGGCTCGAATCCTGTCTCAAACCCTCATCAGAGTATCCTCGCCATCCTTTCTCTCCAGCCAATCCCCTCCCTTCGCTCCCTCTTCGCGATTGGTAAACCACAGGAGCCGATCGAATCGGTCGGAGAAAGTTCAGGCGCAGGTGATCGAGGTGGATCTGGATTCCGAAAACGAAGTCGAGGTCTTGGGAATGCGTAGGCTTGAGGACGCAATTCATGGAATAATCGTCAGGAGATCGGCGCCGGATTGGTTGCCTTTCATCCCAGGATCCTCTTATTGGGTCCCACCGCGGAAACGACCCTATGGAATAGTTGAATTGGTCGGAAGATTGGCGAATCCTTTGACGGAGGAGGAGACTCTCTCCCTTACGACGGTTAGAGGGTGGCCTTCGTTTTCGTATTTTGTAGAAGGTATGCATGGCAGGATTACAACGGATTGTTTACCCTAATTTAGTTTTTTGATAGTTCAGAAGATAATTTTGATTCTAAATTATCTATTTTGAGGGAAAAATTAGTTCTTCTAAGCTATTTAGTTCATCACTTTGTCTAGATTTTTATTTTCCTATACGGCTATACATATATTTGAGGTTTTAAGTAGGTTTTCTTTATTTCAATTCCTCGGACTGAGAACATCTAGATATTTACTTGTTGGGTTTTGGAGATTTAGCTTCACTTCTGATATCTTTTGTGAAAACTAGTTGTATTAGAGAACGAGATATACAGATATCTTATTAGGGCCATTCCCTAACAAAACATGGCCCAAGAGGCGGGGGAGGGAGCACAAGGCGTACTGAACAATTAACACGGACAAACAGATGCAACTGGAAAATGGTCCAGACTAAAGGAACTTGCTTTGCTCCTCTCGAATAAGTGTTCTAGTTAGTCTTCAATCCTTTGTGGGTGAACCGGAGATGATGACGAATCTTTTGAACATAATAGTAGAAAACACAGCTTCAAGGAGTTTGGATTGGTGAGCAAATAGTTTGTAACACAACAACCATAAAATATGGTTCGATGTGAATGCTTATGCTAGTCCCTGTTCTCCTTAGCTGAAATTTATTAGCTTCACTTAGTTAATTGGTTCATCTATAGGTGGCGAATTGGACTTGCAAACTCTTGCTACTTCCGAGGTTCTCTTTTATTTTACTTACCTATATGTTGTCTAGTTGGAGGCTGTGATGAATTTGATGCAAAAGTTGAAGCAAGTTGTGCCCAAGCAAAACCAGCTGGATATGAGAGAGTGGAGGTGGAAGATACCTGGATATTTCTCTACTAGATCATTCTACAAGCTCTCAGAAACTCCATCCAATTTTATTGCCTCATGGGTTTTTAATTCTGCTGCTCCATCTAAGATTGCTTTCTTGGTTTGGCTGCCCTCTTTAAACAAGTGCCTTGCCACTGACAATCTGATGAGAAGAGGAGTGACAATAAGAACTGCCTATGTGTTCTGTGCAATATAGATGAGAAATCGGTGAATCATGTTTTTCCATATTATAGTTTTGCTATGAAGCTTGCAATGTGGGTAATTTTATTTTGAAGTGGAAGGATGCTGGCCGGAGTCAGTGGTCAATTTTCTTCACAGACAGCAGCAGTATGGTCTATGTAGAAGGGGGTCTATTGCTTGGCATATGGTGCCTTTGACGGTCTTTTGGGCCATTTGGGTTGAAAGGAATGCTTGTATCTTTGAGAACACGTGGAAAACTAAAGAGGTAGTGTTAAGGAAGGTTAAAGGAATGCTGTAATCTTGGTTGGGACTCCACAACAAGTTTTGGGGCATTCCCTTTTTGTTAAAGAAAACCTTGGGGGGGGGGTACAAAAGCTTTGTAGTGTCCTGTTTATTTTGTAAATTCCCACTGTATAGTCCTTTAGTGTACACTGCCTTTTTTTTTCTTGTATTATTTTCTTGGTCTTTTAATGCCTATACCCGCTCAAAAAAAGGATAAAGAAAAAAAGAGAGAGAAAGAAATGAATACAAGAAAAGAAGAGGGAAAATATGTTCTGTCTGGTAAGATCCTGGTCGCAAACTCTCCATTATCCCACGTTTCTACAACCACCACCACCTTACTATTCTAGCAAGAAAAAGGGTTTGAAAATGGGGATGATGTTATCAGTCTTAATTAATGATTTCCCACATGCTAAACTTTTCAGAAGGCTAGGAATTGCAGAGTGGACCTAATCCACAATTTCCACACAAGGAGCCCTTCAACCTCTTCATGACTTCCGTGTAGTAGGTCTCTCTCTCTCTCGATCAGCAGTTCCATGTAGTAGGTTGGACTGTATTTGGTGATGCTTTTCCTTGGAATCCCAAGATTTCTATTTTTTGATGGGGGAATCCCATGATTTCTTCTTTAAGTGCTCCACCTTGTTCTCAATAATATTACTATAGGTTACTTTTTTTGATACACTACTATACATTACTTCCTGGCTTCCTGCTCACCAGAAAACCTCATGTGCATTTTGTCATGTCATCATCCTTATTTTGATGATGCTTCATTCTTCAAAAGGAGGTTCTATTGGCCTTTGTTCACCATTAGTATCCAATCTTTGAAGACAAACATGGCAAAAGTGTGACCCTCAATATTATCTAGAGGAGTTGCAATCCATAATGGCACTTGAGCAAAGCGTGTTGTCTTCAAAGATATGGTTTTGCTAATGGAATGAAGTACTGGATAAATTTTCAGCCATGGGCTTGTGGTACCATATTGAAGATCCTCTTGTTTATTTTTGAGATATCTGATATTAAAGATCATTGAAATGGATGATATTCTAGTATTGAACTTATGTGGTTTCTTATAATTTAGAAATAAGGAGCTAAAGAAACATGAATGCACACTTTCGACGTATGGGGAACTTTCCTTAACCTTTGTAGTTTGTAACTCATCAAAAAAAAAAAAAACTTTTGTAGTTTGTACAAATCTCTTGTGAGTTTGCAGTTGAACATTGAACTCATACTCACTGGTGAGTATCAAGATGAGAAATGTCAAACCACATATTCTTACAACATGAGTTCATATATATATATTGAAAAAGGTAACGTAATATTTATTGAATCAAAAGCTACACAAACAAGCTTAGATCAGTCCCAGAAAGGCCGACTGAACAATTCAGCAATTACATATTCCACCAAGAACTGGAATGAAAAACAACAGACAAATTACAATTTCTGAACTCCTCAGAGACTGACACCCAAGAGATTAATTTGCCCACAGCTTTCTGGATTAACTCTTCAAGACTTGAAGCCTTATTACAGAAAAGCCTACGGTTCCTCTCAGACCAGATGGACCATAAAACAGAACTAGGAATAGTCTTCCACACTATCTTTCTTTTCTTGTTAAGCCCATTAATATTCCAGCAACACAAAAGTTCCTTTACCGAACTTGGCATAGCCCATCTTAAGTTCATAGAGCTGAAGAAGTGATTCCACAGCTGAGAAGAAAATGGGCAGTGAATGCACAAATGATCGGTAGTTTCAGAATTGTTCCCACACAGACTGCACGAAAGGTCCAAAAGCTGAATGCCCCTTCTCACAAGATTAGCTCTAGACAGACATTTATTCAGAACCATAGTCCATACTAGAAAGTTGGATTTAGATGGGCTAGTGGGATTCCAGACCTGATGACAAGGGAAATCAGTGGCATCCATTCTACAAAGTTTGGAAACCAAAGACTTGACAGAGAAAACACCATCTGGAAATCAGTGGCACCCATTCTCATAAAAATGCCTATAATGCACTTGAGAGGGGGGGTCTTCAAGGTAAAATGGTGCTTGCCAAGGATTATTTTGAAGGATTTTACTAGTTGTATCTGAAGGACTTAAAAAATGGATAGCAATCTATAACAGGTTCCGCAAACAGGGAAATGAGAAACTATGCCAAAGGAACAAAGGGCCCGAAAAAAAAAGGCAAAAGAAAAGGAGCCCTTAGGTAGGGGTCCATACCCCCTTCTATTTGGCTAAGAGGGGTCTAAACAACATTCTCAAGTAACAACAGGATTGTTCAGCCCTTCAAATTGCAGTTGCACAAATAGAAGAGGCAGGCTTATGTGGAGATGTACCAGGGCAGCAGTAGTTTGGACAGTTTGGGAGGAAAGAAATTCAGGAATATTTGGGGATAAAGAAAGGAATAAGGAAGCCTTAATCGAAATCATAACCCTAGGTAGCTCATTGGGGTTAAAACTTTGGATCTGTTTTCAGACTTTCAGGTTGATGGTTTCTTCAGATCTTAGGGAGCTATAGTTGCTTCCTTAGAAGACAGATAGCTACAGTGGACTGGTCGCCTCCATCAAGTGGCTGGCTGAAGTTGAATTTCAATGGGAGTTGTGTGGACAATCCTAGCCCCTCATAATTGGAAATGTAATCAGAGATGAGGGAGGAAATATATGTGCTTTCTTCTCAGGTCCAATTGAGCAAGGTGATGTGGCATCTGCAGAATTCTTGGCTGCTGTTTTTATTGGGTATTGAAAGATTAGTTATTGAAGGCGACTCCAAAATAGTAGTAGAATGGCTAAAGAAGGGAGGAGTATCTTGGCATCTAAGGAATGTCCTTGGGCGTTTCAAGTGGCTCTCTACGGGCATGTTTATTCAGGTTAATTGGATTAGAAGATCTGCCAATAGTCTGGCAGATGGTCAAGCTAAGCAAGACAGAGTATGTTTTAGGCTCAGCTGTAATATGTTCAGGGGTGTTTAGACATTTGGTGTCTTCTGTATTTTTCACAATGTTTTGTTTCTCTGCTTTCTTTTAAAATTAATAAAATCTTTTTATGAGTTAGTGGTAAAAAAAACAATAACCTCAGGCCATTCAGAACCCCTCAAGCCTCGTCAAAAACCTAAGTCCCAATCAAAGTCATTAGCAAAAGATGAAATGAACTTTGAGTTAGGTTCCTTTTTTAGCCATTTAAAATCCCTCAAGCCTCTATTGGTCAGTTCGGGACTGGTACTGTCCTGAACCATACCACAACCCATTGACAGCGCTAATTGAAAGTACTATTGTAATGGTAATGGGTGGGATTAGGTAGTAAGGACTAGCCTAAGGAAAGGACAAAACCTCGTGTTATGACATTCTTTTATCATAATTAATAAAGCTACACATTTAACTATCAAGAAAAAAATAGTCAAGAAGATATCTTTGGCATTTTTTCCTATATCCATAGGTGTTGACTGGCTTGAGATAGGGTGAATCATCAACTATAGAGATTTTTAGGCTGTGTTTGGTTGCAATGCAATTTTATTTGCACTAGCATAAATGCATGGAAGTGCAAATGAAAAAAAATGCAAATTCTCATTTAATTTTGATTTGAGTTTTACTGTATTCTGCTTCATGTCTCATTTTACTTCATTTGTACTGCAATCAAATAAAATGAGCTAAAATTTGAAACAAAATAGATCAGAATTTATACTCAAATCATTTGCACTGCCATAGTTTTGCATCAGTACAAATTTATTTGCATTGCAACCAAACACAGCCTTAGGCACAGTTTGGGAAGGGTGAAAATACAAAAATGTGCAGCAAAACCTTCTCTATGGTATTTCTGAACTTTGTATTTGCAGTCTTCCTAAACTGAGCCTTAGTGGTTGAAAGTGATTTTGGTGTGGGCAATGGGATGGCTCAAAGATAAATAGCACAGGTTCTCGGAAGCATTTTGATCATCTCATATTGTTTCCATTTGATATTTTTAGCCTATAGATTCCATGTGGTTTAATTGTACAAGCTAAAGATAATCTAGCCCTTCGAGTCCCAACATCTGTTTGATTAGCTGGGTCATTTGGAGTCTGGATCTACATACAATGCTAGGCACATCACAGTTTTGTCACCTCTCTTAAGACACGTTAAGCTTTAAAGAACAATGTGCACATGTGCATTATCTCGTGTTCAGGAACTGGTGGGACAAAATGGTCATGTGCTTTGCATTGTTCCATTTTTTTATCAATACTTATCATTGTTCCATTACTGGCAGCAGACAGAGCTGGACTCACTCATTTGTGAGAATCTTACAACATGTTCTATGCATATAAGCTGCCCGGTGTATCTTGTGACTCCTGCTGAAATGGGGACTGAGTTATTGCTGTTTGAGCCATGGAAAACCATTATTTAGCTATAATTTGCTAGTTAGGCTGTGCAAGACTATTTTATTAGCTTTGAGGGTCAAATGGTACTGATGTTTTTCAACAAAATGTTTTAAAAGGAAGGTGTGGGAGTTCTATGCCTGGAGATGCCTCAAAATGCCTTGAGGTGCATGCCAGGGTCATTAATGCCACGATGCGTAAGCATATACCTCATGCATGCCTCATGTTAAAACAAAGAATAAAAAAAGGAAAAGGGAAGGGAAAGAAAGAAAGAAAGAGAAGGAAAGGGAAGGGCATAAAAGCGAAAGAAAGTTTGAGCTGAGGGCTCTACCCCTAGATACCATTCGCTGATCCCCAACACATTTTTTTTAATAAAACCCATTTTGGGTTTTTTGTGTTGGGGATTTTCGATTAGTTTTATGCGTCTTCATTCTTCTCAGGCCCCTTTTGATTCATGGGAATAGGGGTCTGGACCATTCCAATTCCAACTGTTTGGTTGAACGGAATTGGAATCCCATTCCCATTCCTGTTGGAATGGCATAGCCCCATTTGAGGGAATGGTCATTCCCTGCCTCTTTCTTGGGAATGAAATCCCATTTCTGTTGATTTCAATTCCCATTTCCATTCCTGTCTGAACTAAACAGACTATGGGAATAGACCATTCCAATTCCGATTTCAACTGCAAACCAAATGGACCCTCAATCTAATACATTATTCATGAAAATGAAAAAAAAAAAAGAGATCCCCTTCATTCTCCTCTTAAGCCTCCTTGTTTATGGGAGGCTTATATTCATGCCTCCAGGAAGTAGAATGTCATACATCATGCCTCCGTGTTTTATAGGCCGATGATCATCCAAATCACAATCTTACATGTTGCATTTGACTGCAGGTGCAGGCCCACAGCATGTGGAGATCGATGCAAATTCTATGAAAAGTTCCCAGTCTGAGGATGAAGAAAGGTGATTTGCATGTCCGAAGGAATAAGCATCTAGGGTGGGTAAGATTTTTCTGCCAAGGCCCTACTTATGTGTTGATTAACCATGGATAAATATAACTAATGATTTTGACATGGGCCTATTTTACTATGAATCGAAAAAAGAGAAAAAAACACATGCTTGTTTAAGTTGGGTTATTAGCATGATCTGTCTCACTCTATTGGGTTTATTGGCAAACCTCACACGTTATTTCTTTCATTGAATTTGACATCATCTTTCTAACTTTTATATTTTCCCGTCATGGGTAGAGCCGTAGGACATGTTCGCTTCCTTGTACTTCGGAATCTGGGATAGTCATATCTCCAATGTGTGAATACATATTTCTTATCATTTCAGCCTTAATTTTTCTATAATACTACTGTCTTAGCTGGGATCAACATTGAGTAATAATGGGTTTTTTCATTTATATTTATTCTATAATTCATATTGATGTCATGCAAATCTGAGGTGCTCCGGTGGGTATTTAGGACTTCATAGAATCCTAGTACCCTAGTCAACTGGACCACCATTTTTCATTGGACGATGGTTTGGGCATAACATTCTTGATAATGTGGTGATCACACTTAGGCTGCATTTGGTATTCCTTGTTTTAAAGGACTCATCTCTTTTTTGTAGTTAAAATGCCCCCATGAACGAGATCAGCTTTGGCACAAGTCCCAATTGCATCTTGCAACCTTGCATCGGGAATATCTTCCCATGAAATAAAGCACACAAGTATAGAGATATTACCAATGCAAGGCTGCAAAGGCTATTCGAATGGGTGTTGCCCAGATAGAAGCCAATGCAAGGCTATAAAGGCTGTTTGAACGGGTGTTGCCCTGACAGAAGCCGAACTCCCCATGTACATTGATTTTTTAATTGTAAAAAGGAGATAAGTGCAGCATTATTTAAGGACATATCTTCTTTTTTGCAGTTAAAATGCCCCTATGAATGCTGAGTTTTTAATAGCAAAAAGGAGACAAGTCCTTAAAATAAAGAATGCTAAATGCAGAATTAGGGCATGTTTGTTTACTCTGAAGTCTGACATCTGAAAGTGCAATAATTATATTAAGAGGTATGTTGGTATTGGTGAACTTTTTTTTCTCTTAACTCTGCAGAGAATGTTATTCTGAAAATTATCAAATATCCATTTTGACTCCATATATTAGAGTTTTTGTTGGGCTTTTTGGGGGTATCATGGAAAACAAAAAGGTTGTATGATTGCACTTTAAGAGATAAGAGATAAAAGGAAATAAATAACCATTTTTCTCTTAAAGTTAAAAGATTCTTCTTAAGAGGTAAGAGTTAAGAGGAAATAAACAAGCCTTTAGTGGCCTCAAATGCTTCTATTAAAATGGCAAAAACACTAATGCCCTTTCTGTAAAATATAGGGCACATGATGCATTTTCACAAAAATGCGCCCCCTTCATCAGAAATGGTATGAACTCCTTTCACCAAACTTTTCAGTGTATGTGTTTTGGTTCCGTTAGTGAAATACCCTCACTTGAGAAGAAAAAAGTTCTGCTGGTAGAAGGTGAAGTTTATTCTACAATTTGGAAAACTAAACCATCCTCCCACCATCCAAAACAATCCTCGTTACCCTGAAAGTAAAATAAAATAAGAAAGTAGCACATACACAACCAGAAAGACAAAAAGGGGTAAAATAGCAATGACACTCATTTATGACAACTGACAAGTTGCATTTGACTTTTCTCTCATTGTTTTTTTAGTTTCTATTGTTTGAGAGAGAGAGGCACGAGAATGGAATCGGACTTTTTGGTGATTTGTATTAAGTTCGTATTGATAGTTTGCTGGTTTGGTTTTGCAGGCTCTCTCATATGTAGATACTGAAAAAACGAAAAATCAAAAAGGGAACTTATAAAATGGATCAAACAAAGGCCATTGTGGTATCAAATACAACATAGATGGGGTCATTGTACAGATGCACCTCTGGTGGTGGTGGCTAAAATGTAAATCAGCAATAATGCTCAGCCTTGATCCACCCAGAAACTTACCCATCCATCATTTACTCAGGCTGGTCAAGGAGGCAAAGTTTGTTAGTTCCGTTGTGTACATTTAAACGATGCAATCGTATGGTTGGATTTATTAGTATATTTATTGTTTTGGGCAAATTTCTTAAATTATGTTTAGTTAATTGACTAATTATATTCTTATTGTTTACATATTGTCCTAAAGTATCTTTACTGTTTTGACAATTGAAATTGCTGGTAAATACCAACCGAAAGAAACGAAATATTAAATTTACCTTTCATTATTCTTTAAATTTTTAAAATAAAACCCAATCGATGAAAGAAAATAATATATTCTCTGATTGTTTTCTTGTCAGAAATGTTATTTTACAAAAAAAAAAGAAGCTCGGCGAATGAGAGAACACAAAGAGACACTCTAAGAAAAACCAAAGGATTAGTCTATATTCATCCCCATCCCCATTTGGTTCAAATTAAGCACGGTTCTATTGTAATGAAATAGTGTTGAAAGACAAATAAGTGTAGTGGATTGGTTGACATTTAAATTCTAAAGTAAGAGCCTTAATCCTTTGAAAAATCTATATTATGAACTCAATCAATCAGGGGTCCTGCTCTCATCATGAGTGAACAGTGGACCATCGGAGATGGCTCTAGCCATTTATGTACAGCTGCAACAAGTCTTGGGCGAAGCCAATACTTATGGTGCAAATATTGTGACCCTACTGTCAAATTCCCATTCTCGCTAAGAGGTCAATAGCCAAATATTTGTGATTTTCCCGGGTTCTAGCTGTCTTGTTCTGAGAAGAATGAAACGGTGCTGCAACTTCCATTGTCAGGAATCTTCTCTGTAAAGTCCATTGGTTATACATTCGTTGTAACCCTGACTCTGAAGAAAACTCCGAAAGGTGCTATGGATGCCACTCTGCCCATTGCTGAACTTTGTGGAAACCAACGCATATGTGGTGGTCGTCAATCGTGACGGCTTGTCCAGATTACTTGATTGTCAATCCACTACAGTACACCCCTCCACGAAGAGCAGAGCAGACATCAGGGACATCCGACGACGGCGACAACAGAGCAGAGAAGAGAGAGAAAGAAAGCCTTTGAAAATTAGGCTTCAACTTCTTCAAGTTGTCTATGCTTATCCAGATAGGCGATGACACCGGTGACCAGATTCGGGCGGGTTCTAGTTGAACCAAGAGGTTTCAGTGATTCATCACTCTTCAGCAGAGGTAAAGAAATGATGAGATTAGGCTGTCCGTGTTTACCTCTCTTGCGACGGTGAGTATTATCGCTACTACCCTTTTGCAACGACCATAAAGAACTGAATGAAACTCTCATTGCTTCCTTTGTTGAGCTTTGTCATACCACTCTTCCATCTCTTTTATTAGTGCAATAAAGAAAACCAACAAACGCAAAAGCGAGAAAGAGAGAAGAAGAGGGGTTTCGAATTCATACGTTGAATCTGAAGAGCAGCGTGACGATTGACGGAGGAGAAACCGGTCAAGATTACGACAAATCTAGACTAAAGACAAGGAACAGTAAGGATCTTAACAATAAGGGTACTTTAAATAAGACAATATGTAAATACCATGAATAGAATTAGTCAATTAATTAAATTATAAGGATAGTTTAAGAAATTTGTCTTATTACTTTTTTACTTTGCTTGTATTGCTAAGATGCAATTGTATGTATTCCTTGGGAAATTGCTTTCACTCTTGTGATATTCATATTGTAAGACTAGTCCGAGAGGATTATTGCTCTTTACTAGTGGATGGTTAGCATGGACTATATGCACAACACAATATTCTAGTTTGGGAGGATTATTCCTCTTTACTAGTGGATGGTTAGATTGGACTTAATACACAAGATTTTATACGATACTAAGTGTGAAGAAGTTTTGTTACAAACATGTTCCCCATTGTTTTTTGGGTAGTAAATAAAGAAGGAAATTTATTAATAGAAGAAACAAGTACATCTGATGGTGATGAGATATCACTAGATACAAAGGAGAGTAGAGAAAAAGGCAAAGATACACTAAGAAGAAAGAGGGAAAAAAAATATAAGCCAAACAAAGGAAGACAATTAGGCCAATTGCAAAGTGTTCCAAAATCCAAGGTCTTCCTTTGTGAGAATGAGAATCTAGTCCATAATTCTTTTGCCTCATAAATGTGTGATATACTCCCTTGAGTGACCCTTCTCATAAAATATTCTTTTATTTTTTTTTTTATAATTCTCAACAAACTACAAAAAGAATGCAACTCGGGTTAAATTGGGAGACCACCCACCAGCCCTGAAGAGCATAAAGAAGAAACCCAAATGAACTTGGAGAAGAGGCACTCAAGCAAATGAAAGACATTTTTGTCAGCATTCTCACAAGGATAGTATTTGCTAGCTAAGTGAAAGCCTCCGTCTTGAAGATGGTTTAATCAATATGCTATCCAATGCCACTATCCAAGCAAAAGTTTCCACCATTAGGGGGATGGGGTTTCCCTAGATGCCTTTTGAACATAATTTTTTTTTCATTTGACCTTGACAAAGACTTGTAGAAAGATTTGACTAAGAATAGGTCATTTCTAGATTCTTTACACCATCTTGAATCTTTACTTTCCACCTAAGGTTCAATTGATTGTAGCATTGCCAAAAAATCCACGCTATTAAATCAAGGTTCAAAATTTTGATACGTATCGGGCTGTATCAATCGATACATATCGTATTGGGAGCTTCCTAATACACTCCTCTAGGGGGTATTTTGGGGTTTAATACAGTTCAGGGGGTAGACAAGCCTTAAACCGACCCCTTTGGACCAGGTTAAAAAAAAAACTTTAAAAAAGGGGGAAATGAGCTTCAATACTAACCGATATGCCCTTACCAGCATATCGGCTATCTCGATATTTTGAACCTTGTATTGAACTTTCCAATCAAAGAGAGGTCTCCTAAATTTTGGACGCTATGGAGCTATTCTCAAGGTTCAAAATATCGATACAATTGATACGCCGGTAGGGGAATGTTGGCCTTTATCAAAGCTCATTTCTCTTTTTTATTTTAGTTTTTTTTTTCTAAATCTGGTTTAGAGAGGTCAATTTAAGGCCTATCTACCCCCTGAACTAGTTAAATCTCGAAGCATCCCTTGTAGGGGCGTATCGAAAAGTCCACGATACGATACGTATCTGATGCTGCTCAATCCGAGGTAGTGCACGAATTGAGGAGAGCAACCAGATAATCCTTGTTGATTGGGCGGTGCCGATCTTACAAGGATGGTGCCGTGCTATGCAACCTGCAATCAAGAGAAGAAGTCAGAGGCCCGAAGAGTTGTCCCCGGGTAGACACTCCGACTCTCAAGTTAGTGAGAGGGCGGTGAATGGTCGGGCCGAGCAATGAGGGTGCTAGTCCGGGCAAATGTACGGTGTGGGTGCTGGAAGTTGGAATCGAATCCCCTACCTTGAGCATGAAGTACCTTTTTATAGTCTGGGGTTCGTCTCCTGGTCGGATTAGGGTTCCAGGATAATTGGGACAGAGCTCTCCACCGAGGTTACCGGGGTAGAGTCCTACTCCTCAACGGAGTTGTCTTCCCACCTTTATCCGTAGTCAGGCTTATTCGTGTGGTGTGTAGTTGACATGGCTGGAGGGATAAGATCGGGGGACCACGACGGTAACATAGCTCAGCCGAGCTGAGCTGACGTGGCCGAGCTATGCCAACGTGGTCGGGCGATGATTGGGCAGCCACGTGTCTCTCTGGCTAGCCCAACCATGACCCCAACACCACTCCCCCAGTTCTAAAGTCGAGGGATGAGGTTCTCTTGGTTCGTTGCTCGGCTGAGGAACATCCGAGCATGTGTATTGTCCATGCAGTGTTGGTCATTGTCGAAGAACTTCTGAGTTGTTATCTTGTTTGTGTAGTTATGGTCATTGCCGAGGAACTTCTGAGTTGTTGTCTTGTCCGTGTAGTGATGGTTGATGCCAAGGAGTCCTCTGATTGTCGGCTGTAGAACTTAAATAAGAACCAAAATTTTGGTTCCCGAACCACTCTCCCAGTTCTACTGTCGAGGAAGGGGAATGCTCGGTCGAACTATTGTGCGGCTCTATAGCCTTGTTTGGCATCGAGGCTCGGTTGAGGTCGGTACTGGGCATTCTGATTGGGTCGACGTTCTTGAGCGGCCCAGCCGAGGATCCGCGGCGGTGGTTGGATTGGCACTGAGGGTCAAACTAGCACAATTAATGGTCGTAATCGCTGCCTGTCGGGGGCATCACCTTGGTTTTCCATGCTTTACGCATGCATCATTGGTCGCGTCGATTGGTCTTCCATGGTTGCCAGAGGTGCTTTATCTATACCATTGATCTCTCATCGGGCCATGCCCCCCCAGTGGTTATAAAAGAAAGGGGGGGACCCCTCCCTTTGTGTCATTCGCGAGGAAGGTAGTTGGTATTGCTCGATAGGCTGCTCGGCGAATTGCTTGGCGGGTTGCTCGGTAGGTTGCTCGGTGGTTCTCGTTCCTCAACTCTGTAGGTTGCCTGATATGTCTCTTTCATCTCGTCGGTACTCTTCCTCTTCTTGTCGGGCTTCTCATCTTCCTCTTTGAGCTACGCCTAAGTCTCTTTAGCGTTGATATATTTCTGTGCGTGGCTCATTAGCGCGGATAGCGTTTGAGGAGGATTTTTTGAGATGAAGAAGTTGAACAGGGAAGGGCGGAGCTATGCTGTATGGCCGTAACTGTAACTGATTGGTTCAAGTCCCTGACCCGGAGTGCCTCCTTGTTGAACCTTGCCAGGTAATCTCTGAGGGTCTCCGCCTTCCTCTATCGGATTTGCATGAGGCTGGCCGAAGTTTTTCAATGCTTCTGTCTAGTAGTAAACTGCGCTAGAAATTGGGTCTCTAGTTGGTCCCATGACGTTATGGAGAATGACGGCAGAGAGGAGTACCACCCCAAAGCTGGACCTTGTAGGGTGGCTACAAGGGCTTTGCACATCAGTCCTTCCGACGCGCCGTGCAACATCATCTGAGCTTTGAGTGTCGTGACATGGTCGAAAGGGTTGGTGTTCCCACCGTATTTGTCGAACTGGGGGCTCGCCATCCAGCGGGGGGCATCTCGTCCATGATGTCCTGGATGAAGGGCGGCTCCTTGATGGTATGCGCGACAGCCCATGCTGGCTGG